TTTATAGAAATTTCTCTTAAAAAAAAAAAATAAATAATAATAATAATAATAATAATAATAATAATAATAATAACTAGTAATTACCCGTGCGATGCACGAGATGATATATTTATAAACATTAATAATAGTAAAATTTAAATTTAATGAACTTGTTATATTTGTAACGAAAGTAGACACGTTAGGCGCAAATTACAAAATTCATAAATTATTGAAAATTTCTTTGTGCACAACGTTTTTTGTTTGATTTGACAGTGAGTCATCATCACCACAAACTAATATTTTCAAACCACTTCGGTTGGTGACACGGGAGACAACAACGTATAACTGTCCATGGCTGAACACAAGTTTCTTAAGAAATAAACCAACATGTGATAAACACAAGTTTCCTTCTCGTCTGCGTGATCCCCAGTTAGTATCTTACACTTGAGAATGGAATTATCCTGAGTTAGATCAATAACAACGCTTGCATTTTCTACAGGACTTGTTGTGTACTGCCTCGACCACGTAAACATGATTGGTGTAGTAAGAGTTGTATTTTCATGTTTACAACATAAGCTTGCACCTCCCATGTCCCTGTACTCTAATAAATAAAAGTTAAAGTAAAATGTTTCAAATTTAATATGTGAATGACTAAAATATATGAACAATATTGATACTTTAAATGGAACAAACCAGATATTCATGAAGTAGACCCACGGATTTTTCTAGGACGACCACGCTTTCTTTTCTGAACAATAGGTTGAAGAGGATCATCCTGAGTTAGATTGATAACACTTGCACTTTGTGTAGGACATGATGTGCAGGGGTTCGACGACGAAAACTTTTTAGGTGCAGTAAGAGTTCTATTTTCATTTTCGTCGTCACTCAAGATGTCTATCGCGATGCTTTTTGTTCCAAGAACACTGGAATTTTTCTTTTTTCTGGGTGTTTACGATGACCTATTATTTTATAGTAATACAAATTCAAAAAACATTTAAGTACCCAATAAAATATCAGAAAATTGAAGATGAGATATATAAACCAATATATAATTGAAATGTCATTTGTTATATCATTGAAGGGCATATGATTTGAAGCATCAGATGAGCTTCCTGATAATATTGTCATCTGCCTTTGACTAACAGTTGATCCAGTGTGAAAATCGAGAGTCACAATACCTATATATGTAAGGTCCAAACAACAACATTGAGCAAGATTAATTATAATCGATTTAAAAAATAAAGTGTATTTTAATAAATCAATGGAGTAAAATTCTAATTGATATAAAAAACACATTTTGTTTACATACTATTATGCATTTCAAATTAATAGAATGATCAAACACATTAATAGCACCGACCACACTTTCTTTTCTGAATAATGGTTGAATGGGATCATCCTGAATTAGATTTATAACAACACTTGCACTTTGTGTAGAACATGATCGGATCTTTTTTCTGTTTGATTTAAAAGGCTTTGCTTGCTCTTTCTACTGCCTGTGTTTGTTCGGCCCTCCTTTAGATATTCCCTCCACTCTTTGTTCTTTTTTTTTTTTT